CAGCACACACACATTAGCTTGACTCAACACAATAGATTCGGAACTATTCTGAGTATTGCACCAAGACCAACGCAACACTGCCATGTGCTACTCAAGACTACTGCTGATAAACATCGACCATAACCTCCCCACAAACAGAAAGCTTACTACAACCAGAGATGTTTAGAACAGCCTTCGACTGTCAGAATTCTGGTCTGTCACAAAGGGACAAAGAAGGTGTTAGATTACAATTCTTCTAGCTCCTACAGCTGAACACTTCAAAAAAAAGTCTTATTTATTTGTATATTTTTAACAGTTATGGGAAAAAAATAAACTGCATAAACCTGCGTATCAACAAAATTCAGAAACCCTATAATGTTGTAACACAGTTTAAAAGAATACAAATTGAAAATAAAAATCAACAGCCTAGTATGGCAAATGCCATAAGGTAAATGGATAAAAATCCCCTATTTGATTAAATAAGACATTTCCCATTTGAAACACAGACACTACCCATCAAAACTGTTGAACAGCTGGGTGACACATCTAGCCCAGACTATGCCCCAACACTACATGTGTTAAATTCAGCACAACTTTACATGAGCTTATGTTAACTCCTGTAACAGATAATTAGAGTCCAATCAGGCCCCTTGCCTTTTTTTTCCCCCCTAACAATTTTAAGATCAAAGCTATTGTTAATTTAGGATTGGCTTATTTTCCAAACAGTTCAAGCTGTACGGCAGGGATGATCTTTGTTTACACAAAGAGCAACAGTATCCAACCTTGAATGGAGCCTTTCAGACTATCACATATTAAACAGGCTCTAACACAGCAGGCCAAGTTTCTCCAGTCAGGTATCAACAGGAAACCAGTTTCCTCCAGTTTCTTTCTATATGCCATATGGCACAATCAAATAACAGCTCTCACAGGTAATGCTTAAACATCACAAGAGTTAATGCAGAATGACATCAGGTTTTTGTTTTCTTTTTAAACACTAATACACTTAAGTACCTCAAGCACACTTGATCAAACAGGTACATAATTCAAAATCAACCTCTGAATTTTATTATAGAACCTCCAACCACCCCTGCCCCCACTTAATGAGATGCAACAGAAGATTATTTCAACCACATGCATCAGCACCACTCTAGAGAGCCATCTTTAGACAAAGTTGCAAATCCAGGGTATGTTGTACCCCAGATTACACTGTATATCTAGTTAGAGTTTGTGTTTCAGTAAATTATTTGTTACTAATGATCTAAACCAGAAAAGCTATTAGTTTTTATTCCTGACAGAAATTCAGTAATTTTGGAAAAATGTATCCAAACCTCCTCCTATCTGGCTTGATTTATATTTAGCTGGGAAAGCACTTCTAAATTTAATGATCTTTGTTAGTACTATTATTCACATATGGGAAAATTTTCATCTGGATCAGAAAACAAGGACAACTTCAAGTCTCACAATCACGCAGTACCTCCACGCTGCCAACATCATAAATTAGGTCAATTTTGATTACGACATCTTTTTCTAATTAAGACTCTACTTCCTCAACCAACCTAAGCATTCTTAGACAGCAGGAGGCACTTCTAGTAAAAATAGTTTACTGTACAGTACTAATTTAAGTTTAGCCTAGTATTACAAAAAATATTTTAATGTATTTTGGTTGTATATCTCCTGCCCTACTCATTATGTTGCACTGATGCCTATGGTCTAATCCTTTTCTGAAAGAGACCTATGGAGGCATGACCCCATAAAATATTAACTTTGCTAAGTACGACATAACATATAACTCAGAAGTGAAGCATTTTATTCCTCCGTATGCAAACACACTTAAACTAGATAGAAGGGTTACCTGGGCAAAATTATTTTCTCTTCTGCTGTCAGGAAGGCATAATCATTAAAGGTACTAAACTTCATTGATGGTGGATATTTGAAAGGTTTTGCCCCGAAGTTGAACTCAC